TGGGACTGTGTCTCTTCCAAGTCTCCTGCCAGCCAGCTTCTCCATTGGACTTTGAACTCAACAAGACTTCACAATCACAGGAGCCAAGTTCATCAAATTCATCTGTCCCCACTTCTCTCAATAGGATGAATATATATCATTGCATACAATTATATATATATATATATATATATATACAATATATTTTTTAATAAAAAAATAATAGCAGTAAGTATAAGATGAAGGAAAAAAAAAAACTAAATGGCTCAGACCTCCATGGTGTAATTTAGGGACTCTGTGAACAAACATAGGAAAAAAAATCTTTTGTTCACTAATTTCTAAATGAAAGCATTCCCTGAGATTATGAATATAAATAACAAGAATACAAGTCTTAGCAGACTATATGTGTTTGTCCAAGAATATTTTCATATCACATGATGAGATTATAATAGATATTTCAAAATATAATTTAAGCTGATAATTCCATTGATCAGCATAATTGGTTACATTCTAAATCATTTTATTTGATATTTTAAAAAATACACCTCACATTACTGTCAAATTTTAATATTTGAATAAGTAAATCTTAATATAATAACTAAATTTTGTTAGAATAATCTGAATTTTACTTGATGCATTTTAAAATCTTGTTTTATGAAGGGATGCCATAGGTGTTACCGAGCCATCAATTGGTCCCTGACGCTGCAGAAGTTCCTTGCCACCACGTTCCTCACTCAGGGTCTTGGGCCTTCGGTATTGTCTAGATGTGAAACTTCATCTTGAGCACTTTGGAGCAACCAGAGCCAACTAACACCCATACACCCCCGTTAGTAACATGCAAAAATTCTAAAATATGGGGCAAATAGCACATTCATCTTTCTAGTTTTTCTGAATTGGTTAGAGGAGATTAACAAACTCCCCATCTTTTCAATAAAATGATTCCCAAGGTTGCCTTTCCATGTTCCTCTGGTTTCCTAGTTAGCCCATACCCTCATGTCTCTTATTTTGATAATCACAACATAAGCCAACTTGACAATTAAAAAGTGCCACACAACAACTGCTTACTGCTGAGGGTGCAAGCAGAATGGC